TCAGAACTTGGTCCAGTTAAACGCTTTGCTCCTGGCCTGACTGGCTGAACGCCTTCTTGAACATCTAATCGCCTCTGATTCCTGCTGGATGTGCTAGTCCTGTTGCTGAACTCAGCCGCTTGTGTGCGGCGCCTAAACGCAGCGCTGCAGGTTAACAAACTGCAATGCATTGTGGTCAGCTGATTTAAAAGCGAAACAACAGACTGAACCAGGCTGCATTACAGCGGTCAGAGACCAGGCGTCCAATTGAATGGAGTTGGAGATGATCTGTGGAAGACGCCGTCCAGCAGGGCAACTCTCAGCTCCTCACTGTCTGCCTCTCTGCTCCAAGGTGAGCTGACGTCTCCAGGCTCTCTGGACGCCATGGACGAGGCCGTGGGCGAGGAGGCGGGGGCGTCGTGTTCCTCGGCCGTAGCAGACTCGGACGACTCACTGGCCCAGCCCCCACCCATCCCCCTGGTGGAGACCATGGATGACGCTCTGGTTCCAGACATGATGGCGGGGGCTCCAGGCGGCTCTGCTGCTTTCCAGAGTAGGTGGTCGCCCTTGGAGCTTGACTCTTTGCTGCGTTCTTTGTTTTAGTGGTTTTCTCTGCTGAACCTGCAGATATTAAAGATGTTTTTATTATCCAAAGGTGCTCCTCCTCTATCATCTTTGGAAAAAGATAAAGACATAGACTTTGACTTGCTACAAGACCTGATGGATGTTGATATTGATCCTTTAGATATTGATTTGGAAAAAGATCCGCTCGCCGCCAAAGTCTTTAAGGTACGTTGGACTCCTTATTCTCGGTTCTCACAGCTTCTCCACCATCACAGCTGTTTTGAATCCTCTCTCCTGCTTCCCCAGCCTATCAGCAGTACCTGGTATGACTACTGGGGCGCTGACTATGGGACCTACGGGTACAATCCTTACATCGGGGGCGTTGGGATTCCAGTATCCAAGCCTTCTGCTGCGCCTGAGAAGCCTCCCTCCCAGTGCGTGTCGGTGTCCGTATCTCAAGGTGAGCCGATGCCCAGCCTCTACCGTTTTCCTGCGGTTGTTTTCCTGGAATATTCCTCACACTGAGCTCTGGTCTGGCAGCGCTCGACGCCCGGCTCGAAGTAGGCCTGGAGCAGCAGGCCGAGCTGATGCTGAAGATGATGGCGACCCTGCAGGCCGACTCCATCCTGCAGGCGCTCAGTTCCAGTTCATCAGCAGGTGAGGCGCTTCTGGTGACGGCGTTCCCACACTGAGCTGAACTTTTTCAGACTTAGTGAAGGGAACTGGAACGTTTCCCGCTATAGACAGAACCGTCCTTTATTGGCTGCAAGAGGAGAACTAAAGTCCAGTTATCCTAGAATAAAGGTTTAGCTCCTGATAAAAGGTTTTTGCTCCTAGAATAAGAACAAGCATCTCTGGTATTTAAAGGAAATGTCCGGTCAGCAATAATAATAAATGGATCATCATTTATATCTAAAACTAATACTTTCGCGCTGATTTAATGAACATTTATAACTTACAACATCCCAACACACACACTCCCCCCAGGGGAACCAACCCACCCCCTGCATAAAGAACTTTCTCACACTTGAAAATTGGAGGAAAAACAACTTTAAGTTCATCAAGGCTGTTAGCCGTTAGGTTAATGTATCTTTCACTCGCCAGATGGATCTCCTCAAAACAACAGGCCTCCCCTTGATGCCATGAAAGAGGCTGTGTGACTCATTCTGATCTCTCATGATCTTCTTTTAGAGCCTGTGAGGCTAAGAAAAGAAATACCTCAACATGTTTTACTCCACATCAGTGAAAAAATAAAAATAGTTTTTCCGCGATCACTGAGTCTGGGAGCGGCCATTTTTGCCCAAATATAGTAACCCCTCCCTCCTGCC